AAAAAAAAAAAAATTAGCTGAGTATGGTGGCACATGCCTGTAGTCCCAGCTACTCAGGAGACTGAGGAGGGAGGATTGGTTGAGCCCAGGAGGCCGAGGCTGCAGTGAGCTGTGATTGTGCCACTGCACTCCAGCCTGGGCAACAGAGTGAGACGCTATCTCAAAAAAAAAAAAAGAAAAGTAAAGAAAAAGAAAAGTGTGGACTTGGATGAAATCTTTGGGTCCAACATTTGTGATTCTAAGTTCCAAAGACCAGGTTGGAATCATTTCTAAGAAGATTCTGGTGGTTACACGTTCCTGATTCCTCTACTCCCCACTCCCTGCCAAGCTGGGCCTGTGGATAGATGTGATCCCTCAGCCTCCCGGCTTCAAACACCTGCCAATGGTTGACATGAACAACATAAGCCATCTCAGCTAGAATCACACCCAAAGCCTAGCACCCAGTAAGGTGCAGGAGCCATTAGGAACCATCCGTTTCCCTGACCTGAGGAGATCAGGCTGAGAAAGCAGCAGCCATGCCTTTGCACAATGCATTTTTAGAGCATTCTTCCCATACATAATCTCCTCTGCTCTTTGTCCTGTGAAGAAACTGTGGCCCAGAAAGGTTGAGCCACTGTGCCAAGGCCACCAATGCAGGTGGTGTGTGTGGGGGCCCTGGGGTGGGGACCACGGCCCAGGCAGCTGGTTGGCTCTCGGCAGGGAGAGTCAGGGTCTGTGCTGACCACCCCTGTGTTTGGAACCTAGACATCCCCCCTTGCCTGGACTCTGAGCTGACCGAATTCCCCCTGCGCATGCGGGACTGGCTCAAGAACGTCCTGGTCACCCTGTATGAGAGGGATGAAGACAACAACCTCCTGACTGAGAAGCAGAAGCTGCGGGTAAGTGTCGTCTCTGGCCCTGCTGGCCCTGTGCTGGCGAAGATCCAGTCCCATTCCTAGAACTGGGCCCCCAACTGCACGGTGGCATCCTGCTCTGGAGCGTGCATTCACCCCCAAGCACCAGGACACATACTTCTCTTCCCGCCTTTGGAGGCTGGGGGTGCACATTAACATCTTAGATCGCTGAGAAGTCCTGCGGCAGAGACCTGCTCCTTTTGCTTAACTTAGCATTAAACAAAAGAGACACAAACAGCCCTGTTCCTTTTTCCTTTGGAGTCTGTGGATCTTAAACTTTAAAGAGCATACTACGTACCCCAGGATGCTGATAAAATGCAGATTCCTTGGTCCCACCTCAGGCCACTGAAACAGTGTCTCTAAAAAGCAAGGCCTAAGAAGCTGCATTCTAAATACCCGCTAGGTGATTTATGTTTATTTTATTTTTTTGAGGCAAAGTCTCACTCTGTTGCGAGGCTGGAGTGCAGTGGTGCGATCTCGGCTCGCTGCAACCTCCACCTCCCGGGTTCAAGTGATTCTCCTGCCTCAGCCCCCCGAGTAGCTGGGACTACAGGCACGCCACCACGCCTGGGTAATTTTTGTATTTTTAGTAGAGACGGAGTTTCACTATGTTGGTCAGGCTGGTCTCAAAACTATTGACCTCAGGTGATCTGCCTGCCTCAGCCTCCCAAAGTGCTGGGATTACAGGCGTGAGCCAGTGTGCCCGGACTTCTCCAGGTGATTTTGATGTGGGTAGCTATATGGCGAATTCTTTGAGATCATCCCAGGCTTCTGTTTTTGTGAATGAGATGCTGGTACCCATCTATGACACCTCCTTCCCCTCATTGTGAGCTTTGGTCTAGCTAGTCTCTGCCTGCTCTGGCCTTCTGGCAGGGGTAGGAGGGCCGGACTGGCCCAGACAATCTCCGTGGACCTCTTGTCACACACGGTCTCTACTCCCTCAGGTGAAGAAGATCCATGAGAATGAGAAGCGCCTGGAGGCAGGAGACCACCCCGTGGAGCTGCTGGCCCGGGACTTTGAGAAGAACTACAACATGTACATCTTTCCTGTGCACTGGCAGTTCGGCCAGCTGGACCAGCACCCCATTGATGGGTAAGACCCCAGACCCTAGAGTGGACAGAGCCATGACTCCAGGCTGGCAGGTGCGCTAGCTAGGGCCAGAAAGCCTCTCAGCAGCCTCTGCTGCTTCTAGCCCTGGCATCCACAGTTTGCCTGGGGATTGGAGCAGAAAGATGAGGCATCTGGAGAAAAGATGTGGACTTGGGAGAAAGAAACCAATAAGACACTCTCATGCTGAGGTGAAAGTCAGTAGGAGCTCAAAATAGCTCCATAATCCTGCAAGTACTAGGCGTGGATATCTGGATAATGAAGGAGTGTGAGTTAGGAAGGAGTACCAGGCTCCAAGGGGTGGCAGGGGACAAGGTGGTGTCAGCCATATGCTTCCTGTCCTTCAGCAGAACATCCAGAGGCAGTGCAGCCACCTGGTACTGTCTAAGCCCTCTCCTAAGGCCCAGCCCCAACAGGGCGCAACTGACCCTGGAAGTTATCCAAAAAATCCCATCTATTTTGCGAGCCCCCAGTTTGAGGACTCTTGTCCCTTGTCCAAATGAGTTATGAGGCACTTGCAACGGCACTGCAGAACAAGCAGGCAGCTGGTCAGTTAACAAATGCTTACTGAGTGTGCATTTTGTGCCCTGCACTATTCTAGGCAGGGGATTGAGCAGCAATCAGATCTGGCATGGTCCTTGCCCTTATGGACTCATACTCTGTTCATAACCCTGTCACTACCTTCTGAACTTTTCTTGTGGTGATGAAGTGAGAGCTCCTGCTCAGCATCAGATAGAGCAAGCCACACCTGCACCTTCCCAGAGTTGTTTTTACTTTGTCCTTGGGTTGTGGAAGCAGAGCATCACACACAGCAGAAAGGAAGGGTGCCCTACTCACATACCCAGGGAACCGCCTCTCTAGGGTTTTCACCCCTTGCTCTTTATCCAGCCCGTGTGACTGGAGTCCGCCAACCCTGCCAGCGATCCCAAGGGCTGGGGTCTCCTGAGCTCTGGGAATCTCCCGGCCACTTCTCTCCCAGGCTCTTGCCATGGCTGGGATCCAACTGAGTCACTCATTGTGGCAGGGAGGGGAAAAGTCAAGGGGGAACATCTGGAGCTCAGGCAAAGCAATTGGATCCCACTGCAACAGAGGGCCTGGAGGGAGGCTTCCAGATGGGGTGCAAGGACTGCACATCTGGGAAAGGGCTCCAGCCTGGGCAAGGGGACCCACTTCTTCCTCCTCCCATCCCAGGGCTGTAGGTGACCTTGCCTGCATCCCTGCCCCTCCCTGGGCCTCGGTTTTCCACCAGTACAATGAAGGGGAGGAGAAGGTTCCTATCAGTTCAAACATTGTGTGATTTCTTTGGTGAGCTGGGTGGGGCTGGGAGGTCTAGAGGTTAAGAAGACAACTGGAGTCATATTGTTCCCTGGAGATCCTTGGCGGGGAGAGTGTTTTAGGGACAAGTAGTTGGGGGCTCTGGGGAACAAAGAAAAAAATTATACACATGCTCTGGAGTCTAAGGCCAGCAGGGAGAATAGGGAGGGAGGACAGTGGGAGAGACATCCAAAGGACCTCCCTCTCAGACATTACAGGATACACAAGTAAAGCTCTATGAAGATGGTTAGAGCTCCCATTAACCCTCACTGCCAATCCCAGTCCCTTTCCGCATTCCTTCCCAGACGGCAGCACTGTCACCAGATTGGTGTATCTTTTTAGACCTTTACTAGGCATTTCTAGTTATATAAATGTGTGTCCATAGACAATATACAGGGTTGTGTCATGCCAGATTTTGATCTACCCATAGCAGAAGTGCTGAATTTTGATTTTAAGTTTCTGTGTCCCCAGTTCTCAGCCAATTGGGAAACAGTCAAACACACCAAAAAGACCTTTGTTTTTGAGCCCATGAAACCGTAGAACTGGAAGGGCTGTTAGTAATTACGGCTAACTCCTCCTCTTTGCTGGAAGGAGAAACTGAGGTTCCGAATGGGGCACTGCTGTTCTCTGAGTCTCAGAGCAGTCAGTGGCAGAGCTAGGGGTAGACCTGGGATTCTGGCTTTTTGTCCTGCTTTAAATATCCTTTCCTCCACGCTCTAGGGCAGGCTAACTCCCCGGTTGCCTCCCTAGGCTGGGTGTGGAGCTTTTCCATGCCTCAGGCCCTCTCCTGCCTTCTTCCCTGCAGGTACCTCTCCCACACCGAGCTGGCCCCACTGCGCGCTCCCCTCATCCCCATGGAGCACTGCACCACCCGCTTTTTCGAGACCTGTGACCTGGACAATGACAAGTATATCGCCCTGGATGAGTGGGCCGGCTGCTTCGGCATCAAGCAGAGTGAGTGTCTGAGCAAAGGAGCAAGGGGCATGGGCAGAAGCACTGCTCCCAGGGTTCTGGCTTGTCATCCTCACACTCTCTGATCTCTTGGTCTGTCTGTTGTCTGTCCTCTCTGCCTGTCTCTGCTCTGTCTGCCTATTTGACTCCGGTTTGTTGGGCATCTTCCTGATCCTTCTTTGTCCTTCCGACTGTCTCTCTCTCTTTCCCTTCCTCCAGCGTTAGCACTCACCCTGTGCTAAACACTATTTTGGGAACTGGCAGGCACACAGAGAGGAAACAGGAAGTGTAACTTGGCAGCATGTGTAAGAGACAGGGAAAGGCCAGAGACAGGGAGAGCGAGGTTCCTCCGTCACTGACTTCCTGGGTGACCTTGGACGGCCACCTAGACCCCTGTCCCTGGGGATGGGTGGGAGTCCACCAACTCCTTGGGAAGTGCGTCATCATCGACACAGCCTTATTTTTAACCCTGATCTTTTCTTGCTTTGCAGAGGATATCGACAAGGATCTTGTGATCTAAATCCACTCCTTCCGCAGTACCGGATTCTCTCTCTTTAACCCTCCCCTTCCTGTTTCCCCCAATGTTTAAAATGTTTGGATGGTTTGTTGTTCTGCCTGGGGACAAGGTGCTAACATAGATTTAAGTGAATACTTTAACGGTGCTAAAAATGAAAATTCTAACCCAAGACATGACATTCTTAGCTGTAACTTAACTATTAAGGCCTTTTCCACACTCATTAATAGTCCCATTTTTCTCTTGCCATTTGTAGCTTTGCCCATTGTCTTTTTGGCACATGGGTGGACATGGATCTGCTGGGCTCTGCCTTAAACACACATTGCAGCTTCAACTTTTCTCTCTAGTATTCTGTTCGAAACTAATACTCACCGAGTCAGACTTTGTGTTCATTTCATTTCAGGGTATTGGCTGCCTGTGGGCTTCCCCAGGTGGCCTGAAGGTGGGCAAAGGGAAGTAACAGACATACGATGTTGTCAAGGATGGTTTTGGGACTAGAGGCCCAGTGATGAGAGAGGTCCCTGCAGAACCCACCAACCAGAATGTGGTTTGCCTGAGGCTGTCACTGAGAGAAAGATTCTAGGGCTGTGTTATGAAAATATAGACATTCTCACATAAGCCCAGTTCGTCACCATTTCCTCCTTTACCTTTCAGTGCAGTTTCTTTTCACACTAGGCTGTTGGTTCAAACTTTTGGGAGCGTGGACTGTCAGTTCTCTGGGAAGTGGCCAGCGCATCCTGCAGGGCTTCTCCTCCTCTGTCTTTTGGAGAATCAGGGCTCTTCTCAGGGGCTCTGGGGACTGCCAGGCTGTTTCAGCCAGGAAGGCCAAAATCAAGAGTGAGATGTAGAAAGTTGTAAAATAGAAAAAGTGGAGTTAGTGAATTGGTTGTTCTTTCCCCGCATTTGGATGACTGTCATAAGGTTTTTAGCATGTTCCTCCTTTTCTTCATTCTCCCTTTTTTTCTTCTATTAATTAAGAGAAACTTCAAAGTTAATGGGATGGTCGGATCTCACAGGCTGAGAACTCGTTCACCTCCAAGCATTTCATGAAAAAGCTGCTTCTTATTAATCATACGAACTCTCACCATGGTGTGAAGAGTTTCACGAATCTTTCAAAATAAAAAGTAATGACTTAGAAACTGCCTTCCTGGGTGATTTGCATGTGTCTTAGTCTTAGTCACCTTATTATCCTGACACACAAACACATGAGCATACATGTCTACACACGACTACAAAAATGCAAACCTTTGCAAACACATTATTATGCTTTCACACACACACACCTGTACACACACACTGGTATGTTTACACACAGGGAGTGTATGGTTCCTGTAAGCACTAACTTAGCTGTTTTCATTTAATGACCTGTGGTTTAACCCTTTTTATCACTACCACCATTATCAGCACCAGACTGAGCAGCTATGTCCTTTTATTAATCACGGTCGTTCATTCATTCATTCATTCATTCATTCACAAAATATTTATGATGTACCTACTCTGTACCAGGTCCCATGCCAAGCACTGGAGACACAGTTATGGTAAAGTAGACAAAACATTTGTTCTTTTGGAGCTTAGAATCCAGAGGAATACATTAAATAATGACACAACAAAATATAAATTGCAAGATGTCACAGGTGCAATAAAGGGAGAGTAGGAGAGACCATGAGTGTGTGTAACAGGAGGACACAGCATTATTCTAGTGCTGTACTGTTCCGTACGGCAGCTACTACCCACGTATAACTTTTTAAGATTTAAATTTAAATTAATTAACATTCAAAATGCAGCTCCCCAATCACACCGGCAACATTTCAAGTGCTTGAGAGTCAGGCATGATCAGTGGTTACCCTATTGAGCAGGTCAGATGTAGAATATTTTCATCATCACAGAAAGTTCTATTGGACAGTGCTCTTCTAGATCATCATTAAGACTACAGAGCACTTTTCAAAGCTCATGCATGTTCGTATTTTGTGTCACATGTGTCATATTTTGAGCTGGTGTTTTGAGACTCCCCTTAGAGAAACAGACCCAAAAAATGCGCTCAATTGCAGTGGGCCACATACCTGGATCTCCAGATGTCATTTCCCGTCTCTTAAGTTATGTTAACATTACTCAAATAATAAAAGCTCCTAAAAAATCAAACTGTATTCTGGTATTCTCTTCTACACAATGGGAGGGAGAGCAGTAGGAGAGATCTGTCCATTTGGTCCTGGCCATTTGAGGAATGCAAGCCCAGCACTAGTCTCATAATCTCTAGGAATCTGTGGAGAGATGAATTAAAGTAAATTTCAGCATTGGCTCATTCAGTCATTTGGCAACATTCATCAGGTACCTGCAGTGTGTTAGGGGGTCTTACGAGTAGGCAGCGTGCATGATCCTTGCTCCCCTGGAGCTTTCTAACATTCTAGCAGGCAGACCATACATAAGCTTGCAATACTGTTTCTGATAAAAACATGTGCTGTAAAGGAAATAAAGCAGGGAACTCTCATGGAAAATGACTTGGACCGACTGCTCCTTCAGGTAGGTGGGAGATATAACATTTGCCCTATGAACTGAATGATGCACTCTGTCCCGGTGGTCAGCCCGGGACAGATCATACATGGAATACACGTTACTATCACAGTAGCTCTGCCAACAACTTACTGACATTCAGGGAGCTTGGGTGACTTGGTCATGTGATGAGGCACTGAAAAAGGGGGAGAACTGGAACCCACAGCTTCCTCCCTCATATCTGGATGTTTCCCTATAGGGAGCGCCACAGTTTTCAAAAAAACCTCAGCATCAAAGAGCCATGCTGTATGAATCAGCTCAGGGCCCTGGGATGACAGGGTAGGGCTGCATGCCCTGCTAGCTTCAGCAAAATTAATCGGCTGAGTTAACAGGGACCGTCAGAATCCAGATCCCTTAAGGGCAGAGCTTCTATAACTTCCTTCTATCTGTCCTTCTCCCCACTTCAAATCAATTTAAAAAAAAAAAAAAACAAAAATTTTAACGTTTAAAATAAATTATATTATTACCTTAGATGAAAAATTAGTATCATTTACCATAGAGATAAACCTTAAAGATAAATATGGTAAAAAATACACACACGATGAAAAAACAATGTTATGCAGTTATAAATGTGCCTCATGCTTCTTAAAGAATGCTCTGTTTCTTGCTAAAAGAAGAAATCTTAGAGACGTTCTCCTTGATAGAAAGACCAAACGAGAATTGAACTGTAAGCAAATCAATGTTAATGCCAAATTCGTAACTCTCCTAAAATCATCTCCTAAACTGAAGTGGTGAGCATCCCTTCCTTCAGGCACTGACTCTTCATTGGGAAGGTGTGGGTCCTTTGGAGATAATCCTGGCCCCCTGTACCATTCATTGAGGAGGAGTTAGCCAGGCTCTTGATGAAATTGGAGGCACCCAGGTCAAAGGGGTCAGAGAACGGAAGCAGCCCTCCCTCCTGCTCCTGCTGCAGAACTGGATGGAGTCTCATTTAGTCCAGTGATCCAACACTCTGAGCTTACTTCCGCATCGGTAAAAATCCTGACGATAATGATCCTTGCCTCACAGGTTGTTGTGTCCCAGCATAGAGAAAGCCAATAAATAATCATTATAGTCACCATAATAATTATCATCATCGTTAACTACCACTCCCAACTTAAATGTGAGGGATCTGCTCTTTCCTCACTGCCTAGACTGATCCTTTATCCATGAGTCGTAATGTTTCCTTCTTCCAGACCACACTCCCTCTGTGAAGGGACTCAGGGCTGTCTCAGTCCTGTTAGGCTGTACTGGGCTGGCTGGGGTCTGCATTGGTTTTGGCTACAGGACTGCAAGGGTTAAACACTTCCAGCTGGAAACAGAAAAATAAAGGTACTCAAAGGATGCAAAGGAGTCCTGGACAGGGTGATAGGAATCTAATTTTCAGGACAGATGTGTGAACCTGGACAAGTGCCTACCCCTCTAGGAGTTCAGTCTTCTCTTCTAAATATTGGCAGACGGGGCGCTGGGTGAGATAGTCCTATCTTCAGAGACTCTGATCTTCTCTTCTCTCCTTCTGAATAGGCTGTCCTAGGGATGGGCAAACCTGGACTCTCCCAGCTCTTACAACCTGGTTTCCAGATGGTCCCCCAGAGCCAGCAGGACCCGGTTGCCTCCTGGCTGAGCCTTTAGCTGGTGAGGCGGCTGAGGAGGGTTAGGGCGCCCCCTGCTGGGGCTGAGAAGAAAAGCTCCTAGGCCTGTGCAATGCATCTTAACATCCAAACTATCAGAACCCACAGAGGACATCTAGCCCAACCCTCTCATTTCCCAGATGGGGAAATAGGTTCAGAGACGCCGAAGATACTCCCTCAAGTAGGATTGCCAGATAAAACAAAAGACTCCTAGTTAAATTTGAATTTCAAATAAACAACAAATCATTTTTTAGTACACATATGTCCCATGCAATACTTAGGACATACTTCTACTAAAAAATTGTTTGCTGGAAATCTGAAATTTGAATTGAAGCAGGCATTCTATTTCTTTGCTAGATCTGCCAACCGTACCTCCAAGTCCACCCACTGAGTTAATGTCTGAGCTCGGACTGCATCCTGGACATAGGTCAGGGCTTCTCCATCATGCCTGACCAATGTCTTTTGGTAGCAGCTCTGCCCAGTACTCAGCAGGGGCATAAGAAAGGCTTGTTGAATCCTTCTGGGAGACAGCAAATGGAAGGACATCTGAATCCTCACTTCGATGATCACCAGGAGTGTTTCAGACAGGAGGCGGGTCCTCCTCTGCCCCAACCTCTGCTACCATTAAAAACTCACCAGCAAGGTTTTCATGATGGAGATTCCTAACATCCCTGCCCAGTCTGGTTTACTAGGTTAGGGAGGGGCCTGGACATCTGTATTTTTAGAAAATTCCCCAGGGGATTCTCATGCATAGCAAAGACCCCCTTGGATGAGCTATAAGGAAGAACTACTTGGATGGGATACGTTGAAAATGGCACATATCAGTAATTGTCAATATTCACTATGTCTAAAAACCACTGGCCAGGCGCGGTGGCTCATGCCTGTAATCCCTGAATTTTGGGAGGCCGAGGCAGATGGATCACCTGAGGTCAGGAGTTTGAGACCAGCCTGGCCAACATGGTGAAACTCCATCTCTACTAAAAATACAAAACATTAGCTGGGGTGTGGTGGCACGTGCCTGTAATCCCAGCTACTCAGGAGGCTGAGGCAGGAGAATCTTTTGAATCCAGGAGGTGGAGGTTGTAGTGAGCCAAGATCATGCCACTGCACTCCAGCCTGGGCAACAAGAACAAAACTCTGTCTTAAAAAAAAAAAAAAAAAAAATCCCTGTGGGTAAGGGAAGGGGAGTGAGGAAGGGATGTAAAATCTGCAAAACTGCATATTCCCAGCTCTGCTTCCAGGAATTCCGATTGAGAAGGTCCAGACTGGGACCTTTTGGTAAGCACACATATGTATTTGTAATGTGTTCTGTTTCTTAAAAAATGAAAATAAAACAGAAGCAAATATGGACAAATGGTAAGGCTCTTAGAAGCAGATATTAGGTACATGAATAATCAGTATTCTATTCACTATAATTCAAATATTTCACTAAAAATACTTTTAAAACTTAGGTAGATTTTAGGGGATTGTAATTCAGATGGTCAGAAAGCCATACTTTAAGAAATACTGGCTTGGAGGTAAGACAGTGAAGAGAGTCACCCACTTCCAAACACATATTAGGTGCTCCCCATTCCTAAGAGCTGGGAGAGTTGAGGGAGTTTCTGGGAGGAGATGGGCATGACCTGGTCTTGAAGAGTGGGTGAGATTCAGAGAAGTAGAGGAAATTATGACCACCAGGAAGCAAACAATCTGTGCAACCAGGAACGTAAGTGCCAGGAGACTCAGGTTGTATCTTGGTCACAGCTGGTGCCCTGTGAATGACCTCTGGAGTCTGCTATCACTATGCCCTCAGTCAGTACACTGCAGGCAGAGTGGCCTCCTTTCTGTTCCTGAAACAGGCCAAAGTCTGTCCTGCCTCCAGGACTTTGCACTCACTGTCCCCTCTGGAACTGCACTCTTTCGCCAGCTTTAGTCCTGCCTTTTCTGCACCCTCAGCTTCTCAGTTCAGATGCCTCCTTCTCAGAAAGGCTTTGCTGTCTCTCCTTCT